TTGGAAAGAAAAGTGAGTGGGAAAAGGAATCAAGAAAGGTGACCCTGAGACAGGGGCCCAAGCAACCAGAATGGAAGCAGGAGATGGAGAAATCTCTGCACGCAAGTGAAGAGGGGGAAAGCTGGGCACCGTACCCAGACTGGATCCTAGAGAAAGCTATTGACCTGATGAAGAGAACTCTCAGCTCCCTAGGAGAGGAGAATCCTGAGCCCTACGGCCGCCCCAGCTCCTGGAGCCACAAAGGGAGAGACACCGAGGGGGAAGTGGAACCTGCAGCCCCGGGGACATCTGATGATCCAGTAGTCCCCACCCCCTACCGAACCACAGATGGCGATCTGGACGGAAGACACTACCACCAACAACGGAGGCACTGATCCATTCCAAGACGTCCGCTGTTGGAGGTGAAATTCAAAGAGAGCCAACACGCTTGGGGTTTTTCCTAACCCAAGTCCTCAGCTACATAGAGGAATACGGGCAGGACATCCCCAGCGACAAAGCCCACATCCAGATCATGCAATCTGCCCTGGACGGACTGGCTGCAGATTGGGTGGTGAACTTGCATGACTCCAATGCCCCAGAACTCAGCAACTTCAACCGTTTCATGTCCTCTCTGAGAAGACGATTTGAAGACCCCCTGGCTGATTGCAAAGCCCGCGAAAGGATAAAAACGATGAGGCAAGGCAAACGCCCGGTGACTGAATATACACAAGAATTCCGGGCTATTGCCAGCAAACTGAACTGGCCAGAAGACATCCTCCTTAGCCATTTCAAAGACGGACTAAATTATGATCTATATGACGCTTGCCTACCCCGAGGGGACCCACACCAACTTGAGGAATGGTACATCTTGGCAGAGGAAGCAGAGATCGACATATTGAAAAGACACCGCCGAGGAAAACAATGGAGCCGCTCCCCGCCTGAGTTGACACACGAACCAGTGAAACCATCGGCTACAGCCAAGAAGCAAATGGGATGTTTCAAGTGCGGAAGAGAAGGGCATTGGGCTGTAGAATGCCGCTCCAAAGCCCCCCAGCACAACCCAGACAGATCCCCAATCAGCAAATCCGGAAAGTCTTCAGCTAAGCCAAAAGAAACTGCCATGAGAATGATGGAAATTGCGGAACCCCCCACTTTTGCTCATCAGGGGGAAAGAACTCCAGCCTACACCGCAGGGCCGGTGGACGCCTCAGATGACAGCTCGGAGGGCGAACCCCTGGTAAGTGGACACATCGCACCCATCCTCAAGACAGTGACTATATTAATTCCCCCCATGCCCGAAGCTGTGAAGGTGAAAGCCTTAATAGACTCTGTCTGCACCCGCTGCCTCATTAGCCCAACACTAGTGGGGAATCTGGGCATCCCATCGAGGAGACTGGAACAACCAATCTCATTTGGCCAGTTAGATGGATCCATAGCGGGGGGGGGGTGCCAGCTACCCTAGCCACTCTATCAATACACCTGGGCAAACATGAGGAGGACATAACGTTTGTGGTGACCCCAGGCATGGAATGCCCAATGATTCTAGGGATGGAATGGTTGAAAAAATGGAACCCCTGGGTAAATTGGAGGACGACAGAAATCAAATTCCTGAAGGGGGACCCTATGAACTTAAAACCCCAAGGGGGGCTACCAGAATCAAGAATAGAAAAAGCATCCATGGGAGAGGAAAAGGGACTAATAGAAATACCAGAGGAATACAGAGACCTTGCTGAAGTTTTCAGTGAGGAGAGGGCGAATGAGCTCCCCCCCACCGATCCACAGACTGTGCCACTGAATTCAAGCCTGGGGCAAAACTCCCGAAGCCCAGATTATACTCCATGAACCCAAAGGAGAAGGAAGAAATGGAAAGATTCATTAAAAAAACCTAGAGAGGGGTTTCATTGAGCCAGCCAAGCGTAAAGTGGCTGCCCCGGTCCTTTTTAGACAGACGAAGGATGGCTCTTTACGCTTATGCGTGGATTATAGGGCCCTGAATACAATCAGTGAAAGCAACCTATACCCTCTGCCCCTCATGAAAGACATGCTGTCACACCTCTCGAAAGGGAAATTTTTTTCTAAACTAGACCTAAGGGAAGCTTACTATCGCGTGAGAATTAAGGAAGGGGATGAATAGAAGACCGCATTTAACTGCCCCATGGGGTGCTATCAATTCAAAGTCTTGCCATTTGGATTACAAGGGGGCCCTGCAGTCTTTATGCAATTAATCAATGACGTTCTAAGGGAGCACCTGTTCAAGGGGGTCCTTGTTTACTTGGACGACATTCTTTATTATTGAAAATTTTTATTTTTTCCATTTAAACATTATAAAAATACAATACAATTTTAAAATAAGATAAATTCATAACCATTGGTGCGACCCGCCCATTTCCCCCAGGCTGCGTCCACCCTTTCTTAAAACATTCCCTACTTCCCTCCTCTTTCTCTCCTCCCCTCCTACTCTTTTCCCCTTCCCCTCTCCTCTCAATACCCTACTTCCTCTCTACACCTTCTCTCCTCTCATCCCTATCAAAACCATGAACGCAGCATAAGGGGAGTGCCCGGGCCGCACTCCTATAAACAACCATTATCTATACTACACTTACCCCCCCTTACCCTCCCTCCCACCCCCAACCCCCCTCCCTTCACTTCCCAGAGCAGAATACAGGGTTAATAATAACAAAATTTATAATAATAAAAAAGAAAAGAAAAGAAAAGAAAAAAGAAAATATCATAATTAACCTTTAACTCCATAACCTATAAGACAATTCTCTATAATATTTGTTATAATATTCATTCATAAAATAAATGAAACTTTTTAATTCCATACTTTTTCTGAATATAGTCTATCCATCTTCTCCATATAATGATATATCTTTCTTGTGTATGATCCTTTAAATAAGCAGAAATTTTTGCCATTTCTGCAAAACTAGATACTTTAAATATCCATTCTTCTAAAGTAGGCAACTTGGACGACATTCTTATCTTCACCGAAACAAAAGAAGAACATGTCAACCTTGTCAGAGCGGTTTTAAAGAAGCTGCAAGCCGCCCACCTATATGCCAAACTCTCAAAATGAGAATTCCACCAGGAAAGGATAGACTACCTAGGTTATCGCATATCCCCCCAGGGCATTGAAATGGACCCAGAGAAAGTCAGAGCAATATTAGATTGGGCACCACCCCACACAAGAAAGCAACTACAAAGTTTCCTGGGCTTTGCAAACTTTTACCGCCAATTCATCCCCTCATTTGCCCAGATAGACTTGCCCCTCACTAACTTACTAAAAACGAAGGGAGCATCCTCAGTAAAACCTAGCCAGCCACTAACATGGACAATGGAGTGCCAAGCAGCGTTTGAGAGACTAAAGAGACTTTTTTCTGCCGAACCAGTACTAAGACACCCAGACATGGACAAGCCCTTCGTAATACAGGCAGATGCAAGTGATGTGGCAGTGGAGGCTGTTCTATTACAAGAAAACGATGATGGAGTATTGCAACCCTGTGCATATACATCCAAGAAACTCATGGAAACAGAACAGCGCTGGCCCGTATGGGAGAAGGAGGCATATGGGATACATTGGGTATTACTCACGTGGCGACAGTTCCTGGAAGGCAACAAAATCCCCTTCCAGGTGTGGACTGATCAGATGCACTATCTCGCATGCCCCAATATAACAGCGCACGAACCACAGACTCTAAACCAATAATGGCAGAGTCACAACTGGCAGCACCAGTAACCACAAGAACCCAAGCTAAATTAAAACCACAAATGGACAGCCAAACTGGAATTGAATTCAGAAAAAGTTTGGAAACAGACGAATGGTTCCAGAAAAGTATTACAGTCTCAAAAGATTTTATCTTTGTCATGTTAGCAATAAAATCTTGCAACCTAAACAAGTTATTGTCTCTCTACCCACATTTCTTTGTATCTTTATCTTTGTAATAGTAAGGAAAGAGAATAGTAAGGCAAGAGAAGAAAGATCCAGATTATTTTTTCCTTGCATTAATTGCAAACATTCAGTAGTTTACTTAATATTATAGAATATAATTCTTTATTGGCCAAGTGTGATTGAACACACAAGGAATTTTATTATATGATTTCTTACAGTATATGTTGTTTATTTTTCTGTGTGTCACCCAGTGTTATCTATACAATCCTTCTGGAAGACATGACTCTTCCATGGAAATATAATCCAGTTTGAAATCCACGTTTAATATGTAGCATAATACTAGTATGAAATTTGGATCAACAAGGCCACCTCATTCTCTTGAATCCTACATATTCTTACATTTAATCCTTGGCCTTTTATTGGACCATATATTCATTAATGATCCATGCCAGTAATTTAACAGCTTATTCTTGATACAAATTAGCATCATTAAAGAAGATGGTAAAATATTCATTCATTCATTTATAGCTGGGATTCTTCCTAATCAGGATAGATTTTTTTTTTCCATCTAGGAATATCTGCTAATGCATTTTCCAGATTGATAAATAATCATTCTTAAATAATAAGTTTTCTTTTTGTCAAGAATATTCTTCGGTACCCAGCCTTCTTAGCAGTAATATTAAATCTTATTGTTTTGTAGAAATATTGTTTTTCTCATTCTCTGTGTCAATATTTGAGTTTTCTTTTTATCAATTCAATAATCTGACACTGAACCTTAGTGTTGTATATGTTCCATCAACAGCATTAAGGAATCTCTAGGGCAGACAACTATAAATACAAGATTATTTGCAAAAAATTCAATTTATATTCATATTTGAACTGTCAATGGTTCTAATCTACAGTATAATACTAGTAAAAAAGAGGGAGCAAGTGGACACCTTTATCTTCAGTATTGCATATTGCTGCAAAGTAAGATCTTTCACTATAATTTTGCCTTTTTGTTCTTTCTGAGTATTCTGTATCAATATGAAAAAAATAAGGGCCATAATCCATTTTCTTTAGAACTGCAAATATAAAAGATCTTTCCAAATTGTCAATGGCTTTTTCAGCATTAAGAAATACCTTGAAGTACCTTTTTGCTTTTCTGATTTATCTTGTCCATTTCACTTAAGATATGTCAGATATTATTTCTCATGTATGCCTTCAGAATGCTGCCCAGTTTTTTCACCTGTCAGGGGGAAAACGTGTTAAAGAGAAATAAGAGATAACACACAACAAAATTCTCAACTTTAGGATCCAGAGGTTTATTTAAATTTGACACACAAATTCAGTACTTACATTTCAACAACTTATTGCAATAAGGATCAAATTAAGTGTGACAGCTGGGCCAGATGGCAACACCCAAATCTTTTAAACAGGCTTTATACCTTAACATTGTGCCCACCTTTAGCATTCTGGTGCCATCCCTTTTCCCTTGCTCGGGACTGATCTCCGGGTCAGCTCCCTGTTCCTGGAACTGACCATTAGGTTAGTTCCTTATTCTTCTACTGTTGTCCTGGTTACTGAGCCAGTTTCCTGTTGTTCCTTGTCCTTGCTCTGACCACTACTTTCCTCACTACCATTTCTACTCGTGTCATTGTACCTGTGAACAAGGCTCAGTTCCTCAATTCCTATATGCTAGCTGGTTCTGCACTCTGTTCCTGTGGAAAAATGTGTGCCAACCACAATCTTTCACCATCTACTCAACTGCAAAGGTCACAGTTCTTCCTTTTACTAAGTATGTCTCAGCAGACACCGGTCTTTATTTTAATTGACTATCAAAGAAATATGTTTGATTTGTACCGAAAGAATTATCAAGGTATTTTTTCATTTCACACACCTGAATTAAAAAAAACTATTCAATCTCTTAGCAAGTGTTACAGTTAGGACTAGTGATCATTCTAAACAGTTTAAAACTTTCTGATAAGGGTTAAAAAATAATAGTATACAAAAGCATTTTCACAGGTGAGTATTAAATTTGTATGTTAAGACAAATATTATTTTCACAAAAGGGAATCTTTGTATTACTAGGCAATGAAGAATAGGTGGTTGTTACTAAATAGAAAAGATTAGCATGATGTACCATCTTTATTCTATTCTAGACTATCTCCAAATTAAACCGGGAACTAGAGGAACCGAAAGTGCGAAGTGGCGCAGCTCCTGGGATGCAGCTCGGAGAATTCACGGCTCCCTTCTCTACGGTCTCCTGCCGGGACACCAGCCAGTTCACACACCTCGCAAGAAAAAAAAATGCGGGTTGTTTGTAATTTAGCAAAGGGCAAACTTTTAACTAGGGTTTAACTACTGTACTGTGTAAACCCCCCAACATTAGCTAAGCACTGAAAAGCTTGTTCTGTGCAAACCACACCTGGCAAAACTAAAACGGCAAAAACAATACTTTGGGACAAAGTTGGGTGTTTGGAGACATAGAAAACACCGCTGCTTGCAATCGGGGGCGTGTTCTACTTTCTTCCTAAAGACTATTATGATAACCGCAAACAGCCGCGAGCAGTTTCAGCTCTTCTTCTTCTCTTTCCAACCGCTCCTCCTGCCGGCACGCGGAATAGTACTGTACATATGTTCTTTCTACGCCTCTCTAGGAATATTGAGTGATTGTCTCCCTGATAACCCGGAAGAGGAAGTTGTGGCGGTGGAGGGTTTTTTTTGACACTTTTGAATCAGTGAAGGGGGAGGGGGAAGCGCAATGGAGGTAAGAGACAAACGTAGAAGGGCGGCAGGCAATTTAGGTCGGGCACTTAAATCGGCGGTGTAGACGAAAGGAAAGGAACAGCAGTTAGATTACACCGACGTCGTCTCTTCCTTCCATGCACGCGCCTAGGGGCGGGGCTTATTGGCTGCTTCCGGAGCGCGCGCGCACCCTTCCAGTCCCCCCCCAACCCCTGTGAAATGTCTACTCTGAGAGTTCAACCCCTGAAATCGTAGCTCTTACTCGTCGTAGGGCGGGGTGGGGGGAGTTCCGCGTGCACCCGAGTCCTTCATTTTGTTACCCCAATTTTCCTTCCGCTCCTGCTTGTGAACATTGTATCGAAACATGTCCTGGTTTATGCTAGCCTTAATGAGATATAGTTCAGTTTGGCTTAATGTGTTGTATGGGAATCCCAGCAAATGTAGTTTGATAAGTTGTGATCGGCCACGGCTTAGCATGCTGTGTGAACCAGCCAATGTCCTTTAGTGAGAGCTTTGCAGCTTCTTTAGCGGTATAATCATTCCTAACCGTTGGTTCTAGATTGCGCGAACATGTGAAAAAAATTGCTGTGTTCGCAATGGCCGAGTTAATTATTTGTTGAATAGGCAGAGTTGAACACCAGGCTAACCTGTAACCATGATTTCACCCAAATACTAAAATCAACTCACTTGTGTTGGTTTCATAGAATCACAGAGTTAGAAGTAGCCATTTATGTTTTTGAGTCTACCTTTCTGCTCAGCACAGGAACAGATTAACTATTTGAATAGGCCATATAAAATAGCTGTACCTAAGATTTGGCATATTAATAGAGGCTTATGTAATTAAGCTCTTATCATAAACACCCCAATACAGACCTTTACCTAGAAATTGATATAATATTGAAAAGAGTTTAAGCCTGGCCTCTTTCCACCCCATTTAAGGATCCCATTCCACTTCCTAAATCCTCTAAAGATCTCTCTAAATCAGTCCTTACTTTGCCCACTTTTGTAAAATGTGTTTGAATGTATCATATAAAATTTGATGTCACTCCCAGACCAAGAAATTTCAGTTGTCATCTATGTGATTCATTTTTAATCTAGGATACCCAAGTTTGCTATTAGGAAAACATCTGTAAATGTTTTTGACATTCGTCTGCTTTATTATTGTGAGTTGCAATTTAAAGGAGTGTTTTCCAAGATACAATTTCTATTCTAAACCACTTGTTTCTGGAAACATGAATGGCTGCTGTATTAATGTTGGGGTTTTTTATAGATAATCTTGAAAAAATAGTGCTTTCCCCACCCATTCTCTATTTATGTCTAGTTACTTACATGTTTACAAATTTTATTAAATTTACTCTGGGATAGGGAAGCAGATTTGATAAATTATGATTGAATGCCAACTTTGCGTCTGTCATCATTGTATTATGAAATGAGATATTATGACCAAAACTCATATAGGATGTAATTGTAGTACATATGTCTGTTTAAAAGTTACTGTGCTCCAATCACATTAAAGGAGGACACAAGAATCTAACGGGCATATTGATAAGAGGCACTGAATGGTTCTGTCTCCTGTAAGTTACCTCTCCCTATTTCATCTGATTTCAAAGTCCAATGATGTAGAAGAGAGTTCAGACAACAGGGTGAAGAAGTAAGTCACTGGAAAAATATTGCGCCTATTTTAAAATTTGATATTTGTTTCTCCCTGTGTGCATTTCATTATTTGTTTTATAAATTGCCTCACATCAGAGAGTCCAGTCACATAAACAAAATATATGTTTATGTGGCTGCCCTAGATTATGTAGCAACACAATCAGCAGTACAACCATCAATGGTAATACAACAGTAATGGCATGGATCTTTCTCTTCTGCTCAATCATTAAAAGGCAGTCCAGTAAAGCCAGCTCTAAACTATTCTCCAGAAGACTGTAAGAGAGGAGAGCATTCTTGCCTTAAAGGAGAGGAGCAGGCACCAACAATGGCTCATTCTATGTCCATTCTGCTACTGCCTTTGACTCATAATTTCTGTTCACCTGAATTGAGTGGCTAGAGTTTAACCAGCACCTTGGATTACACTGAAAATAAATTAGTAACAATTAAGGAGAATATGGAGTAGCCTTCATAGTCAATAAAAGAATAGGAAAAGCAATACTGGGATACAATCCCCAAAATGACAGAATGATCTCAATTCGAATCCAAGGCAAACCATTCAATATCACAGTAGTCCAAATCTATGCCCCAACCACTGGTGCTGAAGAGGATGAAATTGACCGGTTCTATGAAGCCCTACAGCACCTTATAGAATTAACACCAAAAAATGATGTCCTTATCATCATGGGGGATTGGAATGCTAAGGTAGGAAGCCAAAAGATAACCGGAATAACAGGCAAGTTTGGCCTTGGAGTACAAAATGAAGCAGGGCACAGGCTAATAGAATTTTGTCAAGAGAATACGATGGTCATAACAAACACTCTTTTCCAACAACTCAAGAGACGGCTCTACACATGGACATCACCATACGGTCAACATAGAAATCAGATTGACTATGTGCTCTGCAGCCAAAGATGGAGAAGCTCTATACAGTCAGTAAAAACAAGACCAGGAGCTGACTGTGGCTCAGATCATGAGCTTCTCGTTGCAAAATTTAGGCTTAAATTGAAAAAAGTAGGGAAAAGCACTAGGCCACTCAGGTATGAACTAAATCATATTCCTGATGAATATACAGTAGAGGTGACAAATAGATTTAAGGAACTGATCTGATAGACAGAGTGCCTGAAGAACTATGGATGGAAGTTCGCAACATTGTACAAGAGGTAGCAACTAAAACCATCCCAAAGAAAAAGAAATGCAAGAAAGCAAAATGGCTGTCTGAGGAAGCTTTGCAAATAGCTGAGGAAAGAAGGGAAGCGAAAGGCAAAGGAGAAAGAGAAAGATACACCCAATTGAATGCAGAATTCCAGAGAATAGCTAGAAGAGATAAGAATGCCTTCTTAAATGAACAGTGCAAAGAAATAGAAGAAAACAACAGAATAGGGAGGACCAGAGATCTCTTCAAGAAAATTGGAGATATGAAGGGAACGTTTCATGCAAAGATGGGCATGATAAAGGACCAAAATGGCAGAGACCTAACAGAGGCAGAAGAGATTAAGAAGAGATGGCAAAACTACACAGAAGAACTATACAAGAATGAGCTTAACATCCCAGATAACCACAATGAGATGGTCACTGACCTCGAACCAGACATCCTAGAATGTGAAGTGAAATGGGCCTTAGAAAATCTGAGCAACAACAAAGCTAGTGGAGGTGACAGTATTCCAGCTGAGCTATTCAAAATCTTAAAAGACGATGCAGTAAAAGTGCTACACTCAATTTGCCAGCAAATTTGGAAAACTCAACAGTGGCCACAGGATTGGAAAAGGTCAGTTTACATTCCAATTCCAAAGAAAGGCAATGCCAAAGAATGTTCAAACTATCGCACCATTGCACTCATTTCACATGCTAGTAAAGTTATGATTAAAATCCTACAAGCTAGACTCCAGCAGTATGTGGATCGAGAACTACCAGAAGTACAGGCAGGATTTCGAAGAGGCAGAGGAACTAGAGATCAAATTGCCAACATACGCTGGATCATGGAGAAAGCTAGGGAGTTCCAGAAAAACATCTACTTCTGCTTCATTGACTATGCAAAAGCCTTTGATTGTGTGGATCACAACAAATTGTGGCAAGTTCTTAAAGAGATGGGAGTACCAGACCATCTCATTTGTCTCTTGAGAAACCTATATGCGGGTCAAGAAGCAACAGTGAGAACCGAACACGGAACCACTGATTGGTTCAAAATTGGAAAAGGAGTCCGGCAAGGCTGTATACTGTCGCCCTGCCTATTTAACTTATATGCAGAGCACATCATGAGAAAGGCAGGGCTAGATGAATCAAAAGTTGGAATTAAGATTGCCGGGAGAAATATCAACAACCTAAGATATGCAGATGATACCACTCTAATGGCAGAAAGTGAAGAGGAACTAAAGAGCCTCTTGATGCGGGTGAAGAAGGAGAGTGCAAAAGTTGGCTTGAAACTCAACATTAAGAAAACCAAAATCATGGCATCCGGCCCTCTCAATTCCTGGCAAATAGATGGGGAAGAAATGGAGGTAGTGACAGATTTTATTTTTCTGGGCTCAAAGATCACCTCAGATGGGGACTGCAGCCAAGAAATTAAAAGACGCTTGCTCCTGGGGAGGAAAGCTATGGCAAATCTAGACAGCATTCTAAAAAGCAGAGACATCACCCTGCCAACAAAAGTGCGTATAGTCCAGGCCATGGTTTTCCCAGTTGCAATGTATGGCTGTGAAAGTTGGACCATAAGAAAGGCTGAGCGCCAAAGAATTGAGGCCTTTGAACTATGGTGCTGGAGAAGACTCCTGCGAGTCCCTTGGACTGCAAGGCGTTCAAACCGGTCAGTCCTAGAAGAGATCAACCCCGACTGCTCTTTAGAAGGCCAGATCCTGAAGTTGAAACTCAAATACTTTGGCCACCTAATGAGAAGGAAGGACTCACTGGAGAAGGGCCTAATGCTGGGAAAGATTGAGGGCAATAGAAGAAGGGGACGACAGAGAATGAGATGGCTGGATGGAGTCACTGAAGCAGTAGGTGTGAATTTAAATGGACTCCAGAAGATGGTAGAGGACAGGAAGACCTGGAGGAACATTGTCCATGGGGTCGTGACGGGTCGGACACAACTTCGCAATTAACAACAACAAGGAGAATATTTATAGCTCAGGGTTGAAATGAGGGGTCCTTGGTGTTCTCTGAGCCTGGTTGTTTTCTTTCAGACAAACTAGGTAACATCATCAGTGCTAGTGTAAATTAGCAACTAATGCAACTCCTATAGCAGCAGTGTTATATAACAGGGAAAATTCTATCTTGTGATTTAGTTTCAGCCTGAGATTATAACATATTAAATGATTCCATTAAAGGACAGTATCTTGAAAATCCCCTGTATGTTTGTTTGGTAGCTGTTATCTGCATTGCATGATGACATTTCTCTTTCAAAAAGAAATCCCTTGAGATTTTGTTTCTTCTCAAACTTTTGTTTAACAATGGGATTATTCCTGAAATGGAAACATTATATAGTACTACTGAGGCTCTTTTAATGAAATTCAGAATATTGTTCTTAGTTATTTTTTTTCTGAGCAAATATTTCTTGGAGGAACTTTTCTGTCTCTTCAGTGTTTTGCACTGTTTTGTTTTACAGATGTTTGATCATGATAAGCAAGCTGATGAAGCCAGTGCTAGTTCACCACAAGGTAAACCTCTTATTCGGCGAGAAGAAATGTGCAATGAAAGCTTCATTTCAGCTTCTGTTGAAATGAATTTTACTGTTCTGAAAGATAAATGAAACTTGGGACATAAGAATGTGGATTGATGTTCTCTTTCACATTTTTTTCATTCAGGTATGGAAAGGAAAGTTAATGAAGGTTCCTTATGGCAGGATAGCAATACTAGGTAAGATTCATTTCATGTAGAATCAAGAATCCCCTCACTCCGGAGGCTTGTTTTCCCCAGGAAAGGGCTTGAGAAAACGCTTTTTCCAGCGAAAACTGAGCCAAAGAGTGAGGCGCACTTGCTCCGCAAGCTAGTTTTCACCAGGAAGGGGCTTGAGAAAAGGCCGCCAGTTGGGCGCTTCAGAAACGGAAAGCACTGTCACATGGCACTTCAAAACGCAGTGAATCCCTGTGTTTTGAATAGCCCCATAGGCGCTCAAACACTTTTTATCCAAACGGAGACCTGAGTCACACGGCGCTTCAAGCAGGCACATGGAGTGTTCCTTTCCGTTTCCAAATGCCCCACTGACAGGAACATGGACAGTCCAATATCTCTCAGATCTGTGTTTGGATAAAAAGTGTTTGAGTGGCAGCAGCTTGAGCTTCTCCGCTTCATCCAAGTGGAAAGAAGCGGAAACACAGGGTAGGATTGCTCTCAATGAGGCCGGCGCACGTGAGCAAGCAGCTCACCTGCATCTTCCTGAGAGCAATCCTGTTATGCGCCTCTTCTTTCTTCCTTTCAGACAGAGCAGAGAAACTGAAGCTGCTGCCGCCGCTTGAGTAGGGAGGAGGACAAGGAGAAGAATGGTCAGGATTTGTGCCACTGGCCAGTCAGGCAAGGAGTAGGTTGGGCGGGCTGGGTGGCTGGCTTTGCCCCATAGGCATGCAAATGAAGCAAACACTCCCCCCCCCCCAGAATGGAAGCTTCTGGGGGCCGTAATTTCTTTTGCAGAGAATTTGTGTTTGAACTTGCGCGGTATTACGGCACCCAGGAGCTTCCATTGTCAGCACAAAAAGCATTTCCAAGCTGACTCTCCTCTCCCTCAAAGGAAAAGAAACCACGGCATAGAGGAGACCAGTTTTGCAAGGTAAGTGAGTCTGGTGCGGGAGGAAGGGGGGAAGCATGAGGTTTCTGAGTGGGTTAGGGAGGTCTTGGAGGCCTGTTGCATCACTAGGTCCTCCATGGCCTTCCCCACCCTGAGATACCTCATGTTCACTTAACGAACTGCATGCATGTTAACGAGCAAGGGAGTGATCTCATTCGAGATACAAGATTCATTCCCATGAGTTTTCGGGTTATGAGTGGAATGTGCAGGCTCCATTGCACTCGTAACTCGAGGACTACCTGTATAGAAAAACAAATTTCATTTAGCAGAATTAGGAATGTAAAATCATGACCAGATAGATTATCATGTTTATGGTGATTTTAAAATCATTTTCATAGAATATAAATGAATTAATTTTATTAATTAATTTGGTTATGTCCTGTATTTCTAATGGAGGACACTGTGGCTGGCAGATCCAAAGTCTAAATATTTTGTTGCATTTTCTGTTGTGTTTTCTTAGTTGTAAGGACAGGAGTGGTTGATTTAATCTGTTTCAATTAGCATTTGGTAGTGGAATAAAGGTGAATGGTTGCTATTATTGATATAATTATTTTTGTTTGTAAGCATAAGGGAAAGGGGAATTATTATGAAGGATGAACTGTTCTGGAACTTTGCCTTTAGTAAAGTTTGTTTCTCTAGAATACTTCATCTTACACTGAGTATGAAATTTTGTTAGGTTGCATTTTAGAACTACTGCCTTGGTGATTGTGTCCAAGGAGATGTTGAATTATCGGTTAAATAATCCATATTCTTTTTGTCTTGGTCCCCCACCCCAAAGAGACTTGGAAGTTAGTTAATGGTAAAAAAAAAATGTTAAAATGGTGACCCCCACTGTAACTTCCCTCTTCCACACACTTGTTTTACATGTGTTGCTCTCCTGTGGATGCTTCTGTAATTGTGTATGTTAGACAGGAGCTACAACAAGTTTGCTGTGCTTGTCTTCCAGGCTTTTCCTGATTGTGATAGTAAGTTTCCTTTGCCTGATTAAGTGGTGCTTTTCAGTGGTGGACCATTGTCTAGCATAGGTAAACAATTTGAATAGTTGTCATATTCACTCCTTGTACTTTTCATAATGATGAAGACAATAAGGTATGATGTTTTTACTGGAAACTCAGGACAATAAAACGGCAAGGCTGAGTCTAGACTGATGATGAAGGAAGAGTTAGTCAAATCTAAACAAGTGTAAGTCTTGGCTCTGATTTCTTGGCAAAGAAATTATATTTTGCCACTATCACTGCATCTGCAGAGTAATGCAGTAGAAGTATTCTCCTTTTAAATGTCTATTACAGGAAAATCAATTTCAGATTACTTGGTTGTCCAGTGTGACCTTTCTGTGAAATATTAGGGATAAAATCAGTTGCATTTGCTCTAACATGTATTCATTTGCTGTAGTGGTCAAATGCATGACATCTATTTGGCCATTTCTTATGGCACAGTTTATACTGTTTGAAGATAGCACAAGACTAATTAGCATGTATATTTGTCTTTTCTAGGTGATTAAGACAGCTAGGGAAGATCTGGTCAAAAGAGTGAAAAGAATTGTACTATCCAATTTAAAAAATAATGATGGGTACAATTAAAAATATTGGTGATGATTCTTAAAGCTATAAAAAGACTAGATCCAGGCAGTGGTGGGATTCAAATATGTGAACAACCGGTTCTCTGTGTGGATGCAGCTTCCAGAAGTCCATTCTGGGCCTGGGCAACAAAAAATTAGCTACCGGTTCTGCTGAAGTGGGGCGAACTGGTTGAATCCCACCACTGGATCTAGGATAATTTATAGACTACCTCATCCCAGACCAGCTTTACTAAATCCTGAAGTATAAAGGCCTTTCTTTAGGCCATGGCAACAGCATGATTTGCAGAGGGGGGGTTCTCAGTGGCCACATTTAAATTGTGAAACTCCCAGGTTTTTTGGGGGGGGGGAGGTTGGTATTTCATATGGTAGGTTTCATAAACTGGTTAACAGTTTTCTGTTTGAGAGGCGTTCCTTCTCTTAGCTAGTGTAACTTTTATTTGAATATGTTATCTATTTTTTTTTGTATTTTGTCTTTTCATTTTCTTTTCATTCATTTTAGTGTTTTGCTGGTTTTAATTTCTGCATTAGGTATAAATAATATAAGTAGAATTTAAAATAAACTTCTAATTTGAGAAGAATGTAAATACATCTACTACTTCTACAGCACATTCAGTGAGATCTAATTAATTTTGTTGGACTATTGAAAAATGTAACAAGAATACTGTTTAATACTTGAGCACGCAACACCTCATTTCATCGAACAGTTATGCAATGGAATTTGAATGCAGTGTCATTTGAACAATGGCATCATCACACATGCATTTCAAACTGGCAGAAAATATGTAATTGGCCTCATTTTCTTGATGATGTCATCACATAATTAATGTAAATCCCCACAAGGCCTTACTCTTTAATACAATAGATATTTATGAATAATGGAACCTCCTTTGCAGTTAATTTCATTTACTATGCTTTATAATTCTCTCTGAAAATAAATTATATCAAAATTTATATTTTTCAGTTTAAATAAACAAGGATTAGAGCTGTCAAAGACTGGACTACCTGTTATGCAGAACAGACAAGGTTATTGCAACTGTTGCCATGCGCCCTACAGCAATCTTGAACAGGTATTCAGATAAAAAAATAACTCTGACATATGGAAACCTCACTAAATTGTTTAATAGTTCCTTTTTTAAGGGTTTCCCTATAGAAACAAACTGCTGATGGAAATCTCCCTTGTAGCCTCCAAGCTCTCTTCCCCCCCAACCTTGATTTTTTTTAAAAAAAAAAAAGCATGCTGCAAAGCACAATCTCATACCATCTTTATTTTCTAGAATTCCTTTGCATTCCCAAAAAGGAAATGACTCCTGAAGGGGAAAATGGCTGCAAATCAGTGTTTTGTTCCGAGTTATTTCCATTATCCTCTTCCAAACATTCACTGAAATATTAAATATATGGTGGAACTAGAAAGTAATGGAAAATTAAACAGATTAAATATTGTGATTGTTTACTTCTACCATGACAGGCATTTGTAGGGACACTTCAATCACAGTAATTTTGTGAGAGCATCCATGGTATGCTCTCAAAATTCTCAGATACCAAAAAAAAAGGCCTTGGCCGTTCTCAGTTTCAGAGTAGATCTAAAAAAAAAAATCAAAGTTCTTTCCGTACGTACTTCTATATATTTGTATTTTTAACTTATAGGTGTTGAAGTGATTGACTTGAGAAAAGCTTAGTCAATTTAAAAAAAACAAATACGTTCATTAACTATGATAGAGGAATGTCCCTCACTTATGCAAGTCTTAATTTTCTTCTTTCTGTGTCACTTCTGTTATGACAGTCTTAAATGGACTTACTCTCTTGCAACTCCTTTCATCAGTAGAAGATGCTTTCTTTCTTGTAAGACTGTATTTGAAGGGAAAACGGTGATTTGGCGCAAGAGTTGGCATGTATGACACATCTATCAGCATTTCCTTGAATCAGACCCATGTTTTCCTGAGAGTGCCAAGTGAGTTCAAAACTAAGTATTTGCCAATAGATGTGTGTGAGTATTCTCAAATGCTCCAGTTCATGTTTTGCCTTTCAAATATGGATCTTTGCACACCCCTTTCTCTGAAGAAGTGACACGTGATTAGTAGGATCCATGAGCACAGGGGGAAAGGGGGCTTGGGATTCTTGTTGGAAAGCTTACAGGAAATGCTGTTGCTAGGAGAGTTTCCTGATGAACTACCTCCTTTATTTGCTTGTAACATAGTTTAGTGTTGAAGAGCAAAATCTATGAAATGTGGCAAAAATGCTTAGGAAACTGGGATAATTAGGATTACCAGAGGTACAAAAATGATTATTTTATCATATCCTATTTTTACTCTTCTTTAACTAGCAAATTTTACAGTATGGTACCACTGCTATTTTTTTTTCCAATTATAGAGTAGGGTTGTTTTCATTTTTGCTTTTGCTTTTTTGGTGTCTTGCCCTTAGTTTATCTGCTGCACTTGGTTTTTGACCGGTGTTTCTTAGTTCCATGACATCAAATAATTTCACTTTTAAAGTATTATTTTTCTTAGAATCTTTGTAATCGCAATTACTGGAATTTATTTTTGTCTCTTAAACAAAGGAAAAAACCAATAGTGGATGAAAATACAAAATACCCTTTTCTCTTTATCCTCAGCATGTATATAGTTCCCAGCACAGACATTTTGTCAGTTACTGTAGGAATCGCATGGGTACAAGTAGCTTGATGGAGCGTTTCCTGCAAGATGTTCTGCAACATCATCCCTACAGATACCACGACAACAGGTAAAACTATTCAGTGCATTGAACTATCTGAATGTTTGAGGATACAAATCCAGTATATTAAAGTAGAAATGTATCAAATTGGCAGCCTGTTGGACTAGCTGAAATACATTTTTACCTGGAAGCAACTTGAAAAAAAAAGTTTTAAAAGACATGAGAAAATTCTGCTGTAATTTTGTGCTTGTTAATTTTGTTTTCATTTTCAGCAAATGCATTACTCCAAAGCAATATCTTTTTTCTGTTTTGATGAGGAGGGAGAAACTATAATATCTGTTTGTAGCGCCCTTAGCCACATTTACTCTGAATCATTTAAACGCCTAATTGGAGAAAATGTAATGTCTGATATTATTATAATAAAGCTACTGCTGGTGATAATATAGCAATTTCTTGGAAAAAATCATGTACACATCATGTTAAGTACCGTTAAATTGTGCTTAACTCCTGGTAACTGCACAGACTAGAGCCTGCCATATTTGCATGGGGAGTCTACAATTACAATCTCATAAACATTAATTACTGTGAATTAATAGCAATTCAAATTCTGGAATGAAATGCTTCTTCAGCCTGTTCAAATGGCAGTTGGATTTAACTACTGACTAAATTCCCTTGTGTATCTAGATACACATTGTTTTTTTCCTTTCCTTATGTCGTTGAGCTGGGCCAATCAAGGGAGGGGAACCAGCTAATTCAGACAATATAGGGAAGGACGGTTGAAGGGAGGATAGATGCAATCTGTTCAATTTTTGGAAAGAGAAGACTTGTTCAGAAAGACAGAATTTGCTGTACTTTTGCCCACCATGTCTTCTGCCCATATGTTGCTCTAGGTAGTGGCTTCTCAGCGTAAAGGATATGCCATTTAGAAAAATTTAGGGAGAAATTTTGGGCAAAGGAAAACATATAAAGAATAACATATAAAGAGATTTTATAACATATAAAAACATAAAAGAGATTGTCATAGAAATCCACCTATTGAAAGAAGACAGTATAAATGAAGCGATAGATCAATCTGAGGACCAAAGTACCTGAAAAACAGTATGAAGGAACTAGTTAATAAATTAGATATCTGTATCTTTCTGCAACACAATTTGGGCCCTTTAATAGTAGACTGATTAACATGTGACCTCCTAAGCAGTTTGCTGTGTTGGCTACTGCTTTCAAAAGAGGTTTAGTTTAATTTTCTTTACAGCTTCTTTAAATATTTAATAAGTTTTAAAAAAGTATTTACTAAGTGAGGGTTCTTTTAAGAATTCACAATTGCTAGTTGCATTTTTAGTATTACAGTATGTAATTCATGTTCCTAATTTTGGATCTTCATAACAGATCATATTTAACTTTACCAAGAGGATTTCTCCAGTGAGTTAAGAGGGAAACACTTCAGAGTTCTCAACTAAGATGGGAGCTACAGGTAGTCCTCAGTTTACAACTGCTTGTTCAGTAACTATTTGAAGTTGCAATGACACTGAAGAAGTAGTACTTACAACCAGTCCTTGAAATTCTGCCCATTGCAGCACCCCGATGGCCACATGATCGCAACTCAGGCACTTGGCAATTGGCTGACTCCTACAATGGTTACAGCATCCCATGGTCATGTAATTGTGCCTTCCCTGCCATCTTCCCATTGACAAACAAAGTCAATGGGAAGCTAGCAGGGAAGGTCTCAAGTCACTCCCATAAGCTGCTCCTTTTTCTCCCAAGGAGCCTGCTGTGGAGTATGAGATCTCAAGGATCTTGAACTCTGTAGTGTGTGCCTGCAGCACCCTTCCCCTGCCCGGTCACCTCCCTAGCACCTATCCAAGACTTGTGACTTCCTGCCAGCTATAAATTGCTATTCTAATGGGCATTTTGCTTCAATTTTACATTAGAAAGCAGATGGTTATAAATTAGGTCTTCCCTGTGAGATTGAAAGGAATGTTGTGTTTGAACAATTTAAGCAACAACTGGGCAATTAATAAAAGGTCTTATCCAAAGCACTTAAAATTAGGTTGGTTAAACGAAAGATATTATCAATATATCAGGGCCTGTGTTCATATTCTTAAAAAGCAATCCGGAAAGAGCATTGTTCGTTGGTGATGCTGTTGAAACCTGGACGGTATTTCAAATACTCTGAAGGAATATAATTGAGTCTAAAATGACTGAAGGGAAAAAGTCTACCAGGATATGGACATCTCAGAAATTGATGTTTAGAGCAAAGCCATTCTAATTTGGAGGAATTACTACTCAGACACTTTCAATCAGAGATGTTTTAGTTGCTAAGCCAATACTTTACTGTAGGTGCATTCTTTACAGGCTCAGAGGGAATATTTTCAATATTTGCTATTCACTCCAAGCTAACAAATCAACTGGGATTTGAAAAACCTAGGAGCATTTACATATCTGTTTCAGTCCACGAATATATGAAAACTACAATAAAAAGTAAAAATTTTGAGAAAGAGAAGATAATAAAGTTTGATCTAAAAATTAAAATTAGTTGTAAGCTAAGACTTTTGCAATTGCAAATATGAAATGCTGATATGATAATTAAGGCTTAGTTCAATTAATACAGTAGTATTTTTGCAATTTAGTGTCTTTGTTCTGAATGTGCTATCAATGAATTTGAAGTTTCTCATATATAATCAAAACTATGAACTGTTTTCTAAATTAATAGTAATATAAATATCAGACAAAGATGTATGGTGTGAAGTCATGTATTGAATGCTATATGTCAATAATTATTTCACTTAGTGATTTAGGGTGCGTTACCATTTTTCAAATTCGAGGATACAGATGGTCTTTAAGAGATGTGCTAGCAATTGCATTGCAAGAACTAAGTGGTGCAAGGACAAATGTTAAACTAAATACATTATTACAATTCCTTCCATGTAGATTTTTCCCCGTGATCATATTAAAAAATTAAAATTTCATAGCAACTTTTGGGAGAATTGTAAATAATAGATTGATATCCCTACTTTAAATCAGTAGAGAAGTAGTCAACCAAGGTTTGGTGCAATATGAAAAAGCATAACCTACTGCCCTTGCATGATTTTCCTTCTTCCATTTACTTCCATTTTTATTTAACTGGAATGAAACTAGTTTAAAATAAAGCTGATTTCAAGCTATTTTTTTCCCTAAAGGTGGTTTGTTTAATGTGACCATGTATAATCATAGCTCCTAGTTCCATTAACAAAAGTGGAAATGAAAGCTCTGAACTTCAGGAGAGGAGGGGACTTAATCTTCCAGGAAGAGGCTAAGCTGGTTCAGATCTCACTAAAAGTGAACTGCTTAGCATGGTATTCAGATAATGGCCATCATAATAAATAGTTGGCTTTCTTTATATAGCAGGGTGCTTTAATATATATTTCAAAACCTAATTCTGAAATTAATGAGCATCACTGTAGCACATGTTACATAACTGACTCATTTGATAAGTGATTCTAATCATAGTAAGAAATAGGCCTGATATAGGTTTCATGGGTTTCCTTCAAGGGAAATTGTAACCTCTATTTTGCAGCAGCCCATACATTGGACATATTGTTTAACAATATTACGATCACTGAAGTAAATTGATTCCAAGCCTGATTAGGTACACACCCTCTATTATTGCAAAATTAGAGAAAATGGGGAAGAATGCTATATGGAGGGGGAGATGAATTCTTTCTAAAGGTAGGAGAGGCACTTGCTGAATGACCAAGCTAAGCTCTGGAATCTTCTGTTAGAGATGAGTATGGCAGATGAGTGGGGAAGACGGTATTGTGATCTCCTTCTGTGACCTGAGTGAGAGCCCCAGGTTAAGCTTCTTTATTTCCCCCCCCCCCCACTCATCTCTGTCATGTTTCCATGAAGCCATTATATATCTGGCAAGGTCTAACCCTCACCTGGACTAGAGTCACTTTGTACTCAACTTAAATCATTTTGTGGAATCTTAATTGGGAAGTGAGCATTCAGTGCTTTAAGTTACCTTTCAAAATCTGTTCATAAAATTCTGTTTGAGCACTGATTATGAGGGTACTATTGGTACTTCTCACTATTTAATTCTTCAGGTGACATGAACATTGGGCTATTACTCACGTGGTGCAGCAGCCAGTCACAGAATGGGTTATTTTAATAAAGGCTGACTAAAATAGTATTTTGCTCTGGTACTTGATATATTATTTATAAAAGTTAGGAGACTAAAGGAGGATTTTTAAAAAACTTTGAGCGATATTCATTATGCTTTTATGTGGTGCGCTATATTGATGGTGCGGCCGATATTTCTGAAGGCAGCAGTTTTATGCAGCAGTTTTTTTAAATTCAGTATATCAATCAGATTTCAAGAGGCAACAAGAATATATGTGTGTGTGTGTGAGAGAGAGAGAGAGAGAGTGTGTACACAGATAGTAACATTTTTCACAGTATCTTTAACATTTTATGTTTACTGATGTTTTTTTCTAGAATCTTTTAAAATTTAACTATAACCATTTATTCACATATATAGGTAGTCCTCGACTTAAACTACAATTGGGACTCGAATTTAGCAATGGCAGTCCCTACAGTCCCTGTTGCCATTGATAAATGAATGAATCCCGCTTTCATTAAGCAAGGCAACTTCCTGCCGGCTCTCCACAACTAAAGTGGAGGTATCAGGTGGAAAAGGGAATGAAAGGATGCGTGGGAGTGTGTGAGAAACACTGCACAGGTTGGGGAGTGTGCACAAGAGGCCCTCTTGAGAGGTGCTGGGAGGCTCAAGGAAAGTGCACAAGATCCAGTTGGATCAGGAATGTTATCAGAAGTGTTGTGAGAGGTGCTGTGGCTGTCGTGGAGGATGCCTAGGAGAACCTGAGAAGGGCCATGCAGATGGGGGAGGGTGCATGGGGTTGTGCAAGTGGCACTTTGCAACTCAGGAAGGGTACATGGGGTTGCACAAGGAGCTCTATGTGGGTCAGGGAGAGTGCAAGGGAGAGGGGTGCATACAGATTGGGGAGGATGTAGGGTGCAGGGGAAGTGTGGCAAGGGTCAGCGAGGGTGTGTCAGTGGCTAGCACAATGCAAGTACAAGGTGGGGAGAGCTTTGATTTTCTGGGGAAGCCAGCAGGAAAGGTTGCAAATGGTGAGCATGTGATTGTGCAATCCTTGGCAGTTGGTCACAAGTGCATATGGATTGCCGAGTGCCCTGGTACCAATCAACACATGGGGGGCAGGTGGGGTAGGACTGCTGGAGCAGCCAGACCTCTGAGGACCTGTCATAAATCTATTTTTTCAGCACCCTCATAACTTTGGTCACTGAATGTATAATCATAGGTCAAGGACTATATTACCATTGAAGAAGAGAAGTGCAGCAGCCGAATTGACTTACTAAGGATTTTAAAAATTAAAGTATCCCATAGTGGAATGACTATTGACAGAAAGGACAAGATTTAGTTAACAGAAAAAGCAAAGTCATGAGTTGAAAAACATTTCTGTATACAAATGTGAGTCAGAATGGAGGGATTGTTTTCTTTTGTTTTTTATACAGCTATAATAGATTTATATATAGGTAGTCCTCAAGCTACAATCATTCGGTCAGTGATTATTCCAAGTCACAGTGGTGCTGAATGAATGATGGTTATGACCAGCACAGAATGAAATTTCAATGAGGAGGCCACTAAGGAATGTCACAAGTCACTGGGGTAAGTCTGCCCCACTTGCACACCCTCCCCCAGTCCCTCTGTGCTCATGCCGTTCCACCCACAAACCCTCATGCACTCTCTCACACCCTGACCAACTTGTGTGGCTCCTCTTGCACATTCCCTCACACCCTTTCCTTGCCTGCACTGTGCCTCTTGCACACACTCCCCAACCCACATGGCACCGCTTGTACACTCTCCTGACCCTTTCTTGCACTCTCATGCACCCTCTCCATGCTGTATCTGTCATGCGCCATCCTCAACTCTCTCTTTCATCCACACACTCTCCCTCCCCTCAATGCCCCCCCTCCCGCCCAGCAGCAGCCAGTTACCTGCCTGGAACTTGGAACTTCCTGCCCCACTGACTTTGATTGTGGGAAATTGTCAGGAAGTTGCCTCATCTAATAACCATGGTATTTAGTTAATGACAGCCACTGGGACTGCAGGGATTGCTGTTGCTAAGCAGTGTGTTTGTGTTTTTTGACTGTATTACTTAATGACAGAAATTCCAATTCCTCTTCTTAAGTCGAGGGCTACATATAATTTGTTGCTGATCAATTCTTTAATTATTGTTTATGAGAGGGATAAAAAGAGAGACTAATGACATCAAAATAATTTCACAATCAAAAATAATCCTGCTTAACTCATATTAATTAAACTAAACTTTAATATTGTTATTACTTAGATATTTGTAGGTTTGTCTGAGTTTCTAGTGGAAAGTCCATTTTTTTGTTTTTGTGTATACAGTTATACTGAGTATAAATTATTTATTTTCTTCATACATTTTGCTTATTCTGATTTTCTTTAAAAATCAATGGTACTGTATCCTATAAGTTCCAATGTAAGATATCTTCTTTTATAATTTAGATATGGACCTTTGCTACTTTTGAATAACAACCCACTCAGCTGCTTACCTACATGATTACATTAAGGTTTCCTGCAATTAGCATAGTTTAAGGCGAGCTTCGCAAGCTATGTTGGCTTAAAATATAGTTGATTAATTTGCAGATTTCTGTGTTATGCCATTTCAACTAATTTGGTTAGTTTTTTGGTTCAGTGTCTTAAGTGAACCTGGACATGAACCATGATTCTTGTATCTCAGAACATATTAAGTATTGTGACTGAAAAATTTGACACCAAAAGTGATTCTGGAGTTCGTGGTGCTCTCTCTCCAATGATGCAGAATGTTGAAAGTTCCCTCTCATGCCTCACCTTTATGTAGCAGTGGGATTTAAATAACATATGAATCCATGAAATTCAGAGCTCAAACTTGTACGTTGCTGAATGGTTTATAAATGATTGGTAAGTCAGTTTGGTTTGCAGCTGTACTGCTAGTCGTACTAATAGGACCATTAAAGTTTTATTAACTCTCCTCGCTTTTCATTCCTTAGTTGCACATTCTGCTTTAATGTTCAATAATTTATAATATTGATGTATATATTTTTTCTCTTTTCCTAGACCAACTTATGATGACATGCCATTCAACTCCCAGCTTCTTGCAAAAGATGGGGCTGCTGTTTCAGTGGACGTCAAAGAGAAGGGGAGAGAAACGAGCAGGGTGGAAAATCCAAACATCGAGAGTGGATTCATGGCTGAATCAGGCTGCCTTATTTCCCAGAGCCATGAAAAGCAGAAGAAGGCTTCTGTGAAACTTCTACCTATCCAGACTCTAGGAAAAGGACAACAACCCCAACTAGGAACTTCACAACGAAATCTGGACACTTCCAGTAATATAAATAATCTTGGTCCAACAAGTCTTTTGACTGAAAATAATAGTCAGAAAGCCTCATTTACAGCTAGGGATGTTTTACCCCATCCATTACCTATTGGTGAGGTGCCATCCACTCCTCACAGACTTGCACAAAATGTTAGTTATCCAGTAAGAGCAGATTTAGTTTCAGATGACGTATGTGAGCAGGCTACCCAAGATATATGCAATCAAGATGGATTTTTGAATTCAAACAAAAACTTTGTTTTACAGCCAGTCCTGTCAAAAACTGTTTCACATTTTCATGAGAGTCCTGTCTATAATAAAGGGAACTCTTTAATCTCAGGTCAACTATTTTTAAAACAAGATGACTTAGAAACTCAGGATAAAACTCGGATTAATGTCTGTCTCAGGAATGCTAGAAAACCTGTGGGCACAAGCAATTCCCTGACTTTTCAAGCAGCTCCCCAACTACCAAGACAAAAAGAACATTTGTGCAGAAGTACTGAAAGTTCTATAAATGAAATAATTGAACAGGTCATTTTGAAATACTGCTATGAACCTCTTCCCAAAGAGTTGCCTTGCAGAGAAGAAGATACAAGTTCCTGTGTAAATATTCTGTCACTTTTGGATCACAGTAGTCTGCATGGTTCAGATATGAGTTTTGATTGCGATGCAGCTGTAGATTCACAAGCAAACCTGTCCAAGTTAGCTGCTAAAAATCTAGAACTGCTCAAAGAAGTTAAAGTAAATCTACAAGATGAAAACTATGGCATCCAACTCAGTTCCATTTTTAAAAATGTTTCAGTGCAACAAATAGCAGAAGCAGAAAATGATATTTCAATCCAAAATAAAGAACCAGTTCTTCCAGCTCTGCCTCATGTGCCTCCTTCCTTTGTAGGAAAAACCTGGTCTCAGATCATGTACGAAGATGATATAAAAATTGAAGCACTTGTGCGGGATTTTAGAGAAGGCCGCTTCCGCTGCCATTTTGATCCTGAGCCCTTGGCTCATCGTACACCGAGAAAAAAACCTCAAAAGAATGATGAGAGGATCAATGCAGTTGCACCTAGCAAAACAGAGGCTGGGCCAGCTAAAGGGCTTCCCGATTTTACTGACGGGCTAAGTGATGGCCCTGACTTCAGCAACTTATCTGCAACTTCAGAAGTACATGTTCCAAAGCCCCCGAAAAATCCCCAAAAAAGAGTTTGCCGCCTTGCCTCAAGATGCCAAGTAGTCAAGGTTAGCCATGGCACACAAACAAGTTTAATACAGTATCCAATAGTAAAGCAAAAAATAATTAGGAAAGACAATCAGCTACAAGATCAGATGGCTAACCTCCTTTGGTCAGAGAATGAGAAAACGCCTACCATGAAAACAAGGCTATGCGCTCTTAAGCTTCCTGAATCATATACCAAAATCATGAGCCCTTTACAGCCACAAACACTAGTTTATGTTCTTTCATGTCCAGAGATGAAACAATTTAGGAACAAGGCTGAAGAGGTTCCCAAAATTAAAAGTCATAATTCCACAGCTAGTAAAGATTCTGTAAGGTACAAGTACAAACCAACTTCTATTAAGTACTACGATCCTCTGACAAATAGGATTTTAAAAACACCTCCGAAATGCTTAGCCAGGGGGAAAACAAAGAAGCCTGCACACGTTCGACAGCTATTCAGGAACCTCAACTTTGATGGAAACAGGAAGAAACAAGCTGATATCCAGTATATATCGAAGCCCTTCAATTCACCAGACAACTGTGCGGCCTCTCTCTTGCTTGACCCTGTTAAGGAGAATAGTATGAATTCAGATCATAAGACAGAGGACCCTTGTGTTTCATCTGAAAGATCAGAATGCTTGATGTATAATTGTTCAGAGAAATGCGGTAAACACTTATTTATTTCACATCAATCACAGCAGGAAGGTGACTTTCAATTCAATCCATTTAAGAGGAAAGGAGTCAAATGTCCCTTAAAGTCCCATACTGCTGATTGTTTGGAAAGGGACAATCCAAAGAAAATATGGCAGAGAAAAAAAATCAATAGTAGAGAATCAGGATTTCCGAAAGAAACTTCAGAGCTAATTTTTATCAAACATGACCTTGTTAAGAAAGGCAGTAGGAAACAACCACCCAGAAGTACAACTCGGCAAATAGAAGGAAAGTTTAAAAAAAAATCTTGTACCCTTAAATCATCTATTCTCAGGCATCACTCAAAGAACACTGCCATAAAGCATCTTCAGAAAGAAAAGGCTGATATTAAAAAGCTGACAGTGTCAAGGAAGTCAAAAAGAACATTTTTGAACACTGCAGCTGCAATGAGTGTTCCAGAAAATAGGCAGAGAGCCACTGTAAGAACTTCCAAAGTAAAGACATGGCGAGTGACCAGAGACAAGAATCTTTTTTGCACTGTGAAATAATGTTGCTCAGATCATATAAACCTGCTTTGGGATTGTCTTTAAGAGGGCTGGAAAGGGAGAAAAAAGTAGGAGTGGCTTCTCAAGATAATACATCAGAATTAGAAATGGAACAATTTTAAGGTCCAACGGTAAGCTAATAGGTCAGGAAATAGTTCATATTGCTGCTTTGTAAGTGTTCTGCACAGTACATGTTGAGTTAAAACTATTTTTTAAGCAGTAAAAGCCCAGTTTTGCAGCTTGGTATATATTTTTCTCAAGCAGAGCATTATTTTCCCTTGTAAAACTAGTGTCAGTTATTGAAAAAGTTTACCTTTTACGTGAAGCTCAGCTTTGATATCTTGTTGGTAAACTAAGCAATGCCAAAACTCATTCCACAGCAGTGTGGAACCAAATGGGCACTCCTGCTGTTTGTTAAGATTGTCAGTTTCCCCTTAACTTCCCTGTAGAATCTTTTGATTGTTTAGAGCCAATTTTTTCGGAAATTGCACATGGAATTTTAAAATGTATGCATTGGATTTGAAGAAGTAACCTTACCTGGAATCCAAATGTGGATATCACGCAGTGATTGTATTTTAAATTCAGATCACAAATACAAAATCATCCTGCCTATATGTGTTACCTTCTCAAAACTATCGGATGTCCTAGAATGAAGCTGCTATTGAAAAATGTTTTTTCTTTTTCTTTTGATTTTTTTTATTTTTTCTGGAAGAATGATTGATTTTTTAGGATCATACAGAATGATTAATCAAGACTGCTGCGTGTAAGCAATATTTCTACCCTTAATCTGCCCTTAAAATGCATTACTACCTAGTTTCATCTCACAGTATAGTTGTGAAAGCATTTTAAAGTAATTTCAATTAGTAAACAAGTTTCTGAAAAATGCTACTTCATGTTTAAAATAGATTTCCAACTTGAATTTTTAAAAAGGTAACTACATAATATTACTTTATTTTGGCTTGCATTAATATTTTTGTTAAAAACATTTTTCTAACAATATATTCTAAGACATATGTTACTCTTAAATACAGGTAATTCTTGACTTACAACAATTTGTTTAGTGACCGTTTAAAGTTATAATAGCATTGAAAAAGTGACTTATGACCATTTTTCACAGTTAAAACCTTTGCAGCATCCTCATGATCAAAATTCAGCTGCTTGGTTCATATTTATCACCGTTGCTGTGTCCCAGGGTCATGTGATCACCTTTTGCGACCTGACAAGCAAAGTTAATGGGGAAGCTAGATTCACTTAACAACCTGTTTACTAACTTATCAGCTGCAGTGATTTACTTAACTGTGGCAAGAAAGGCTGTAAAATTGGGCAAAACTCACTTAACAACAGAAATTTGGGACTCAGTTATGGTCATAAGTCGAGGACTACCTGTACAAAATAATATAATTCTCCATCTGGATTGGTTGAATTTATGTTTTCTGAGAATTCCAATAGGTATTTATATGAAAAATGACTATTTTGTTCAAACATCCCAAGTTTTTAGGTATTACTTCCAGTATACTATCACCATGAACTATTGTAACCTAGTAATTATGGGTGTTCCAGTCATATAATATACTAATATAAACATATTTAAACAAAAAATCTTTAGCTGATAATTTTATACCTGATAAAAGGTTTATTGCAAACAGTTTTTGTGTTTATATGCAAATTTTCACTGATGCATTTATGATGGATAGCAATGTCTTTTTAACTAACATGCTGATTTTTTACACTCTGTTCTGTAAATTTTTGTGACTATTCTGACAGAATACATTGTCTTCACCAATTCTAAAATTGTACATATTTCTATATATCCTGCTTTCTTAATGCTCCCATTTTCCCCAACCTCAGGATGCACAAGGCACTAGCTGTCTAATGTTAAACATTTTTTTTTATATTTGTATGTTTGTCTTTGGTTTGTAAATCGGTTCCTCAATCAGAGTGCCATTTTTAAAACAGAATATAAAGAAAATGGCTATATTTAAAAAATTTGGATAATTATCTTGATATATTTATATATTTTCTTTAAAACAGGAAGAAGTCTAACATCTTATTTTTTGTATTGTAAAGAGCTTGGAATATACTTTTGGAGAAAATTGTGCAGAATTGAAAATTCTATAACTATTATTTTTGAATATGCCTCACTTCTGGGTTTAAGATTATGGTATATGTTTGGTAAAGTAAATGTCGGAGAGACAATATATTTTGGTTAAAACTATTTTATCGGTTCATTGGTTTTATGGATAGGTTTTTAACTTATTATCTTACAAAATTACAATATCTGGAATGCTCAACATTTTAATAAATAAATCAGGATCCAAAACTTATTGTGTAAACTTCTAGATGATTTCCTGTGCCTGTGCCATGGGCATACCTGTCATCTGTTCTAACTGAGGACTGAGTTTCATATTTTTATTGGCTTTCAGATTTTGCGATGTTAGGAGGTTGGCTTCTATATCAGTCTTAAAAAATGTTTTCGCTATTCATTCCCCAAACTGTGCCCGCCAGGCTCACTCTTTTTCTGCCCCATCTCCTCATATACTAGACAATTACTTTTCAGCATCTGGTTTCAGAGAGCGCCTCAGGATTTGCGCTTCAAAAGCTTCTAAGCAGACTTAGATTACATCTCCTCATGTTGCAACAAGTAGTTCTGGAATAGGTAAACCTGGGGGATTTTACGACTTTTGAGGATGTACGAAAGATACAGTTGTCATCGTGTGCACAGAAGCCCCTTTCCTTTTGTGACAATATTACATGAATGATTCGCTTCAAAGAAGAAGAGAGCTGCCATAGAAATATTTTAATGAATATTTCATCAATGTTGCATGAATATGTATTGAATTTAGGCATGGAAGAGAAATTTGTTTGATCCAAATTTTATAGAGACTGATACCACTAACATCAGTTACAGCTTTTACTTTTCAGGGTATTGCAATGCAGTTTGAAATTTAAAATGTACACAATATAGTGCATGTAAAAGAAAAGAGCTTTTTAATTATGTTAAGAAAAAAGTAAGCATGTAACACTAAAGCATTTCATATCAGCAAAAGAAAATACAACACTAGACATGTACAAAAATGAAAATCAATTTTGTGTTCTTTTGTTCTATTTACCCAACCATGGTAGAAAGGTGAAAGATAATTTATAGTTTGGAAAATAGAAACAGAACAGACCAAAATGATAGATTCATCCATTTCTATTTAAATGTCAGAACTGAGATTTTAAACAGCACCTAGCACAAAAGATATTGTTTAAAAGCTCACTGAAAGAGCCATCAGTTCTAAGACTTACCCCACTGAAAGGACTATTGACTCTACAGGATACCCAAGGGAACCATTTCCCCAATTACATTTTTGCAAATAAATGTCATCTTCCAGTTCAGATTGGAAAAATGAGGACTCCCTCTTTCTTAGCAGTGATTTTCCATTCTAACATTTCTTGATTTTTATTCTGTTCCTCTTTATTTCCTAAATGAATAAAACATGTTTAATTTCAATTGTATTCATTAATAAAGTTGTTGATACATATAATACTGCAACTAATTACAGGTACTCCTCAACTTATGACCACAATTAAACCCAACATTTCTGTTGTTAAGACATTTGTTAAGTGAGTTTTGCCCCATTTTATGATCTTTCTTGCCTCAGTGGTTAAGTGAATCGCTGGAGTTGATAAGTAAGTAACTCAGTTATTAAGTGAGTCTGGCTTCCCCATTGATTTTGCTTGTCAGAAGGTCATAAAAGGGGATCACGTGACTTTGGGACACAGCAATGGTCATAAGTATGAACCAGTTGCTAAGCATCTGAACTTTGATCATATGATCATGGGGATGCTGCAAAGGTTGTAACTGAAAATGGTCATAAGTGTCATTGTAACTTTGAATGGTCACAAAGTGAACTGTTGTAAGTCAAGGACTACCTGTATAGTCTCCGAACCAAAATACACTAGAGACAGATTGTCAGTTACATTAAAAAAGCTGCAAAAGATACATTGAAAGTACTGTTAATAGACAATGTTTATATACCCAGGATTCTAGAGGATTTTATATACCGGTATTTATTACAAGGGAACCAAATACACTATCTATAGTTGTTACCATCACAAAGCCAGTAAAATTGAAGTACTTTTGTTCTAAGGAAAACAATCATGCTTGAAATTGAACTGAATTAATTTCAATTCCATTAAAATTAAAATGACAAGATGGAGGGCACATAAATTTAATAAAATGGATGAGAAGGATGTTTGTGAGTGTGGCATCAAGATGCACCCAATTACTCCTGTTACATCATTGCTTTACACACTGAATGAGATGACACTTACTTTTGCCAGAGACTGTTAAATTCAGTTATATACTGAAGTTATCTTTAAATATTTAAAGTACAGACACGTTATTTCTTAGGATCAGAATCTGACTTAAACCACTCTTAACATTTGCCTTAGGTGACTGTCGGGATCCTATTTAGGAGAATGTGCAAAATGGGTTCAGTAACAGCAGGTGCTCTAAAAGAGTAATATAGTTAAAAATTATTTAGTTGCAACATTATGGATTTGTTTCATTTTATTTATGCATTTTAGTAATACAGATAGTCCTCAACTTACAATAGTTCATTTAGTGACCATTCAAAGTTAAAATGGCACTGAAAAAAGTGACATGACCATTTTTCACGCGACTTGAAGCATCCCCATGATCACATGATCAGAATTCTGAATGCTTGGCAACTGGTTCATATTTATGACAGTTGCAGTATCCCAGGGTCATGTGATCAGCTTCTGCAACCTTCTGACAAGCAAAGTCAATGGGGAATCTGGATTCACTTAACCGTGTTACTAACTTAACAATTGCAATAATTCACTTAACAGTGGCAAGAAAAGTCGTAAAATGGGGCAAAACTCACTTAACAAATGATTCATTTAGCAACATAAATTTTGGGCTCAATTGTGGTCGTAAGTCAAGGACTACCTGTATAATGTTGCAGAGCAGTTTTGAATCTTGCTCTTTTCCCCTTTTGATTTCAGCTTAAGCCAGTCAAGGAGCTCTTATCCACTGCTCCAGTATCACGCCACTGGTAATTCCAAACATAGGCTAGCTCAAAGAGTTTTACAATACAAATAAGCTCTGCATTTTATACAGAAAGCCGGGTTTTAATGTCTTATCAGTAGTTCATATTTTTTATCAGTAGGCAGACACAAGTGGAACTTAATAAAATATTTCTCCTTTGCTTGTGATCATTTACAATTAACTTATTTGTTTTAAAATTTAGAAAAATAAAAATAGTTTCTTTCAATAAAATAAACATTAAATTAGTAACTGTTATTTGTTTAAGTTCTAAACTGTGTTAAATATTTATTTGTTTTATTATTATCACTCTCAGCCCAACCCACCTTACAGGATGGTTGTAGGGAAAATTATGTACCCTACAACAATTCGGTAAGGTGAGTTGGGCTGAAAGGGAGGGAGTATTATGTATCTCATTTTAGGTTATATAAAATAAAGGCAGAATATAAATCTAATAAATATATACTTTATTATCAAGGTCAACAGGAAGGCATACACTTGAAGGTTGGATAACAATCTCCTGTAGTTTGTATAAGAATTTATATAATGGATAATTCATAAATTAGTCTGGTCTACTTCATAATCATTTACAGTCGCATAACACTCATGGAAACTGTAGTAACCATTTATATAAACATCTATTTAAAAATTGCCCCCAAAATACAATATCTAGAAATCACTGTTGGAAAACAATAATAGTTTTCTAAATTGAAGTTCATCTCTGTAATAAAATCAAAATGAAAATCAGGAAATGGAAAATACAAAAGTTATTACAGCTTAGAAGAATTACAGCCACTTGGGTGGTTTTACTCCCTAATTATTTTTATTTCAAGTTTTATTAATTAATCTATTTTCATTAACTCTTAGATGATGGCAAAAATATTTTATGCTTGCTGGAAAAAGATTGTGGTTTTATATTAAAAATTACATTTAAAAATGGAGTTGGAATTCCAAATTTATGTTTTTATTATGAGGCTTTCCACTTACAAAAAATCAAATGATTATTAGCAGAAGTGAAAATCAAAATCTGACTTGAAATGTAAGTCACTGAAGAATACCACTGGGATATTCAAAATGGCTGATTCCTACCAGACAG